ATACACTTATGAATTATCAAATGCTGAAACCTTTTAACGATTGCGTTGTCGGATCTACTGATAAGTTCGTGTCAGCTAAGAAGTACTGTAGATTAAGAAATGTTTTTTAATTGTGCATTAGGAAACAATGAAGCCGCGTATTTCTTCAAACTTAAAGTGGGGCGGTGGGCTCGCTAGGTATGACTCCGCTCATTCGACTCCAGTGTTGGCCTAGAAAGTCCTGGAAATTAATTGTTAGATGGGACGCAAACCCGAAGTAAGAATTGACCGTAGCGCCACTGCTAAGACACATTAACCTAAACGTATTTCATTTCTGAAAGATATGGACTCTTGTGCTAGCACGGGGAAAACATACATGAGATGGTCTAACGTTGGTATACATCTCATGTTCCCGTGGGACATGTTTAATTGTAGACTAGGCGTAACCGAGACATGATAAATAGGAACATAGCTTGGCGAGAAGATGATATCTCTTCCATCACATATGTTAAATATACTATTTTACTTTATTACCTATCCAAACGTAAAGGTCACTGTGGAAAACAATGCCGCTATATTTCTACAAAGTTCAGTCGTAATTTTGATCTTGTCTATAGTTTTCTAATAAATATGAAAGAAGATGCCCCAAAGGGAGGGGGTCACGATATACCCATTACTTCGTGTAGTAAACACACACGATCATTTGGACTAAATTCAAAACAAGGTTACCACTTTAATAACATCTCCACCACCAGCAACATACGAAACATGTGCTGTCTGTATACAATTAGCTCCACCTGAGAACAGACACGAAACTATAGTTGACCGACATTTTGATTCCCATTTGGACGATGTTAGTCGAAAACACTAAGTATACATTTGAAAAGAATTTATTCAAAGTAATGAAAATGGACATGTTTATTTAGTCTTTGTGTGTATGAAACGGATTAAAACCGCATAATTTATCAGTTAACTATTTTTTCAATATGGCGACCATTCTAAATTGAAAATGAAAGTAGTAAATTCGCGACAAATCACCAGTAACAACACGTTATGCACTTCACAATATTCCTGAATGGAAATGATCGTCTCATAAATCCGTTAAAGATACACATTTCCTTGCCCATCTCTTGGATTCAATTTTCTACGGAACGCCAAAAAGAACATTTCCTTGTGATCCTTGTACAAGCCAAGAAGTATGACGGATTCATTGAAGTAGCAACGAGTATATGCAAGGGCGTGATTCGTTTTTATAGATTAATAACAATATTTGCTATACTTTAAGCGAACGAATACAGACTGTGTTGTGCATTCGACAAGTGCATATACAAGTAGCACATGTGCTCACATTTGAAATATAATTTCTCAGTGGCTGATAAAGAAGATTAAAAAAACAGTTAATAGAGCCATTTAACTCGCATGATTTTACTAGTTGGATATACTCAATAACACCGCGAAGTTATTTACTATTATTATTTACTATTGGGAAGCCGGAGAATCTTATTTATTTAATTAATATTAACAACAATAAATATGATACTGCTTATTGGGCGTGGGATGTTTTCTTTCCATATTCGAGACACCCGGGTGTTTGTACCCTCGATAACCGCTTCAGGTGTTCGCACTGATAGTTAGCTGGAATTTGCTCGCTGCTTGTGATGAGGTGAAACCTTCTATCAAAGATTCTTAAAGGCCCTAGTCCACATCATTCAATATCTCAAATCTCAAATATCTTAATTATATAATTAAGCACAATCGAGGACAAAGGTCGTGCATGTAGAATGGACTGGCTGACACGACAAAAATGTCAGAATTATTATTTATTTATTTGTCTTATACACGAAATGCAATGAAATGGAACTTAACGTCCCACTGTTCTGCTCCGATTGGGCTAATACAGTGTGCTAAAAGGGAAATTTTGCCCTACGGTCTACTTTTTTTGTTATGGAAATTCAAACTGCCAAAGAATAGTTTTTACGTACACGTCAATGCGTACACGGTACCTCGGGTTTTCGTCCAATTCGAACTACTACACGTTTCCCTTACCAGGCCGTCTGTCATCTTATATACATATATAATCTTGTATGAAATCAATATTGACCAATGTAAACTTTAAAATGTTTCTTACGTAAGCCAGAATTAACCAAATTGAAGAACAGAAAAGTATTCGACCAAAATGTGTTTGAATAAAGTATTTTCTTTTCTTTTTTAACCTACATTATATCATGCCGGGACTTTAATCAAACCTTCAAATATTCATGATCGTAAAATTTACTTCAAAGCAGTGGTTTTGAGTAACGATATAGAATAAGAATAGTCCACAGCATATTAAAATTTATATAAAGAAATTATTTTTGATGTGAAAAAAGTACATATCTCACAGAACAGAAATCAGATTGATAAAAACATAAATAAACATATAATGTAATAAATACAAAAACATAATATGGAACACAATTACTATTTTCATTAAAGCTTTAATTAAAATATTAATTGTGTTCCATGATTTTGTGTTTTTGTGTTCCATTTTATGTTTTTGTGCTTATTACGCGTGTCAATGGCTAAATACCACTCAAAGACGATGCCACAATGTAGTAATGACAACAATAACTATATGCTACCACCCCCCCCCCCCCCTCACCCAAAACAACACCCCACACCGTCGTGGCCCAAATCAAGTAAAATTGAAAACGCAGTATGTACCGATTTTATCATCAAAGTGTGGACAATTCTTATAGAGTTTAACCAGTAGACTGTTGCATATTTTGCTTTGTATACATGCCAGGAGGACTTGAACACAAAGTCTAGGCAGAATCGGCCTTTGAATATTTCGGGCTCTGTCAGAGCATGCTAAACGACAAGTCAAATGAAATGAAATGAGGTTTAACGTCCTACTTTTATGTTCCAACAAGGTAAATTGTTTATCAAAGCTAGCCGATTTACGGATATTTGTTTTAAAATCTTCCCATCCAACTTAGACAGCGAAAAATTCGGCTATGACGTCAATGGTAAATTATGGGCAATTGTGTATCCCCAAGGACAGCTGTCTAGTCGTTCGGATGGTACGAAAAACCGAGGTCCCGTGTACACATTGGCGTGCACGTAAAAAATCCCTTGACAGTTGGAATTCGATATAAGAGTAGGCCGTAGTGCCGCTGTCCGGGCAAAATGTCCCTCATAGCACACCGTCTTCATTAGCCCAGTTCGGAGCAGAACAGTAGGACGTTAAACCCCATTTCATTTGGTACTGATCTGGGTTGATTAACCAACTAATCGTGGCCTGAACGAACATGTAAAATGTGTTGATAATATAGTCTGTTAACTGTTATTAGAAAATTGTGAAATATACTGACAGAAAATGTGAGAAAATAAACATATGGCTTTAATGTGCATTAGGGTGACACGACATCTCACAAATATCACTTCAGCACAAATGAACCGAATTATAACATAGTTGCTAATAATACTTATTTCAATTAAATAATTGTGAAATTTTGTCCGGTGTTTTCGGAGGGTAAATCCCAGAAGAAAAAAAAATAGCGATTAAAACCCAATGGAGTGTATTAGTATACCTATACCAATACTGATAAAAGACAGTATTATTACTACATCTTATTGGAGGGTTACTGATAAAAGACAATATAAATATACATTTTGCTGGAGGGGATTGGATGAATTATTTGTTTTTAATTTTTCTTAAAAATGTCTCGAATCAAATGGTTTGTTTCCAATCTTTATATCTTATGCTAGGTTCCCACTATCGTGAGATGTGTTACGATAGGATTGTTCCTATTGAGTCCACGATCCGGTACGTGTAGATACGTTCGGATACGTTTCGATACGATCAACACCATTGCTACGAATGACCTCAATACATGTATATGATAAGACCCGATTTGTCCACGTTACCACATTAAAACCACTCGTGATAGTGGGAACCTAGCATTATCACACTCCAAATAGAAAGATGATGAAGCCCCTTTCATTACATTTATTATGTTCTAAATACAAAAAGCATCTTTCCCCTGCAAAGAAGGCATCTGGTATCCTCTTTAATTAACGTTTTGCTGAAACCTAAGCATCTTGAATCTGAATCAAGTGGAGAAACCATAAATAAACAAGAAGACAAAACAAATCAATAGGTAAATAATAAGCAATAAAAACCGTCTGAAGTGTTTGCTCAATATACGATTAGATACAACGTGTCAACACACTGATTAAAACGAATGGGTTAATTCATTGGTATAAAAAGTTGGCATGGAACCGTGTTATATTCATCTTGTCGACGCTACTAACGTTAACTTGAAACAATATCTATCCCAGCTTTGATAAATTAGTGGTATCTTTAAGTCCGGCTTCTAAAATTTTCTTTACTGTCTATTTGGGGACACGATCCCGCTATCGTTGTTTTTTCAGTGATAGTTTGACTTTTCTGTTATGGATTTCGCTATGGATATTGTGTGAGGGAATGTTTTTGAATAATAAAAGCTTGTCATTAACTAGATGATCCGTAATTAATATTCCTAAAGGTTTAATAACGTTACAAGGCAAACATTGAAATAGACGAAAATGGATCTAAAAGCTTATATCAATGTTATTTGAGTATATAAAAATCAACCATTATTTATTAATTCCGCATTGTAGGGTATGCTTTTTTCTTTACAAATGACACTAGAAACCATAGAGTACACAGCGTCTTGTTCTGATTTAAAAATGTCAATTGTGTCTTAAATATTGGCCCCAATATGTTTTGTGTAAGATAACAACATCAATATTGATTAAAATGAACTATTTATAATACTGAATTCTAATCCGTGTTTTAAATTTCAAATTTTGAGTTAGAGGTTTAGCTCCTTTATATACCTAAATAATAAATTATTTAATAACTTTAACATTTTGTTCTTACCATCTGAAATGATGGCCCTGTAATATATTCTTTTTTAAACGAATGTTATCGCTATAAGTTTTTGAACAAATACAGCCGATGGAAAAAATATAAAGATAATAAAAAGATAAATTACCTACTTTATAGATTCAATTTACCGCTATTCTAAAGCTATCCTTATTATAATTGTTGGCGCCAAAGTTCTAGAAACTATTTTAAACTTATAAACTTTTTGTTCCAGGATTGTCGTGTTTACATCTCCATTAGTCCCGTCATCTTTAGCACTAAAACACTGGCCTTTATGCACAAAAACATGCTCACTGTATACGCTCTTATTCGTGTGTTCTGTTAGTAGGTATTCCAAAGCACGAGCATTTATTTGAGGTATCGGCGCTATATAATGGCAATATAAGCATGTTGTAGGCGGTACAACTCTTTTCTGACTTCTCGCATCTCTATCATTATTTGTGTTTCCACTGGCAGTTCGATAGAATAAAACTTAACCCGCTCGCCGTGTTTCTACACTATCAACTGTCGATTACACAGACAGGTTTGTAGCACTGACGGTATTCGATTCACATTTATAGCGCTGAAGTATTGGAATCACTTAAATCCGCTAACCAATCTATATGGGGTTTAAAGCCTATCTTATAGCCTTCCTCCGCATCAATATCCTGGCCATGATTGAAACAATCTCTACTTTAATACGTAAAATTAGAAACCAGCAGTACACTGATGGCTGGGGGTGATTTGTCTTAAAAAGTACAAGTTACCTATTGTGAAATCATCATACATATAAAATTTGTAGAATTCTAACGATCTGTCATTATTCAAATGACACTTATATACTTTCTAATGCCATGGTATTAATAAGATTATATGTTATACGTGTTAGATCATATAAACAATCCAGACAGATTATAATATGTTTAAGCTGGCGTGAAGTTATAACTACTGGTTGAATTCCTAAATAATTACGATTGACTGATTTTATAAATTGCTTAGTCCTATCATTTAGTATAACAAGTTACAGATGTTTAACTTTACTATAAATATTTTAATATTACTTAACATTTTTAAAGTTGGAATACTGATATGTACGTAGCATCATGTCAATTCAAGTGTGCTAAAATTAAAAAAGTAAAAAAAAATTGTGGGCGATCGTTAAGCAATCTGAACGCAAAGGTGGTTCAAATAAACTACTTTAAAGTAGCCAAGTCTTTAACTCGGTACCATTCACAGTCTTCGACATTGCAAACACGACTTATTGGTCATTTTAAATCAACATTGATGTTGTTATCTTACCGTGAAAAGATGCGCTTCTGGTTTCCAATATTTAAGACGCAATAAAAAATTTAAACTTTGCATACGAATCGCGTGCCAGAATGCTTCCGCGCGCCATTTGTAATGACACGACTAATGAACGAGGCTAAAATCCCACAAGGGAAGACTACCGGACTAGACTGGAATAACCAGACAACAAAGACTGCCATTCAATTTGCACTCTTCGCGTATTTCGCCGGACTGATTAGAAATTACAGGAAACACAGAAACGATTGAATGTAAATCGGTTATATACATTCATAATACATTATTATATGCGTTGCAACCAATTTGTGTCCATTTCTAGCAGTCAAAGAATAGTGATTTAGCTCCTTTAAAAGCACCGTTCCGATGATGTCTTTAAATTAAAAGAAAACTGATCCGGCTTTAAAATTCCCACTTTAACTACATTTCATTACTTTTCGTGGACATTGGCGTTTTTATGTAGACTATATGCGTGTGTAATTTTAACCATAACCTTCCGATTATGTTCAGCAACACAGCCTGGTGAACGATACACACCCCGGGCTTAAAACGCAAGTTTTTAAAACTAGCCTAATATGCAAAGCCGCCTGGACGATATTTTACATGTACCTAGATACATGAACCTACACATGCATTAACTAAAGTATCTAATTGTAAATATGTTTGTATTTCATTACGATATCCATGTGGTTGTTTATAATCAGTACATTATTATTCGAAATGGATTGAATATACATTATCCTATTTGATATAAGTATAAATTACGTTACTAAAATACCCTATGATATACTCATACTAAAGTCTCATTTAAAGGGACAATAAAACAGAAAAAAACCATCTTGCAAAATGATATTTTAAAACTATTTAACCTGAAATCAGTATTCTAAAAAACACAATTGTTTAGAAACATTGTCAAAGTGGTCAAAGCAAAACAAAGTTGTAATTGTCAGAAACGCTCGATTCTCGATTGTCTATTTTGGATTTTCTATCCGCTCAAACCGACGTCTACGGATTATTCAACTGATTAAATGCAGTATTTTGTGGCCTTACTTTGTCAATAATTTTAATATACTGAGACGCAATCAAAACGCACCACCGAGACATGGGCAGCAAAAATGTGACGTTTGGCATGATTGTAGGTTGGACATTTATAACACCCCACAAGGTCATAATAACTTTGCTTTATAGGGCAGGACAAGTAGGCACAAGGTGTAATAGAAAAATTAAGAGTCCATAACTAACCTGTGCCCACCTCTTACACTAGTCGCATACGCCGTTGACTTCGTATCGGAGATATAAGCCCCTGCAATGATGCGTCATATCGTTTTGGTACTCATGCCCTCTTGAATGAACGCAATGGCGCGTTCTCAGTGTCCAGGAGTAAACTTGGGTATAGTCAAATAGTTGTGCCTTACACAGAACCACGCTCGTATATATAGGAGTTAGACTGCCATCTTTAAAAGCCCAAATTTAGCTCTTGGGTCTGCACTATAAAATCTTGATTTTGAACATTCCGAAACTATGTAATTAATTACACTTTTCACGTGTTATAGCTGTAATCTAATATTATATAATCAGAATTGCATCTATCTCTCAAACGAAATTTACAACCACCCATCCATTTATAAAAGGAGTTCGTTTTCATTGCATCTCAGTTATTTTATATCACACTTCGTCAAATTGAACTTTTTAATCAAGGAAGTCTGTTTTTTCTTTGTAATGTTAAAAACTTGAAACAGTCTCTAGTATAATGACATTGTTATTGTAATTTGACATTGTGAATGTTCCATATCTATATCACAATAAATATTCAATTTCTTATAGTTTTACTCCTAATTCAGTGAATTCGTCATGGCTGTAAAGCCATATGTTGCTGATATAATTTATTATTGAATGCTGGTGATTTTTAAAAGTCTGTGTAACTAGTGAGACTTTAATAATATACTGAATAATTAAAGTATACGAAACTAACGAGGTTATATATCAAATTTAAAACACCACTGATATTTAATGATATTTGAGGAGAGGAGTGGAGCACCATTTTTGGCCACACTTTCGCATTAAAAGGAGACAGCTGTTATCGATGATTTTGAAAAACGCCTGGAAATATTGTAAAACTTTGAAGATCAGAGTTTTTGGTTTGTTTTATCACTACGTAAGGTGACAGAATGAGGAATAAACATAAAGTTAAAGATCATACACAATAAAAGTACGTTTATTTAGAATTTTTACTTCGAATGATATTCATATCAATCAATTATAACTTAAAGATACATTATGGGAGAATAGATAAAGAGCTGGCAGTTCTCACTAAAATAGTTAAAAACTAGATAACGTAAAGGGTATTTGCTGAACATTTCAGTCAAATTGGTCCACTCTGATCGGTATACGATGTTAATGATTAAATCATGAATAAATGTTGAGCAGCAAATCGGATCCTAATCCAGTAAATATCGCAGGCTAGCGATGACATCGAGAGTTGATTATAATCTGGATAAGTTAATTAATGTCTAATTCATAATTTAGATAACATTCCAGGCCTAAAGAAAGACCTGCAATAGGCAAATTTAGCTCTTGCATAATGTATTTTTGAAGACATGACCGCTTAACGTTCACATGCTTGATTCCTCAACTGCAATATTATGTGTCAACATTCTAACATTAAAATAGTAAATATTTTTGTGATACATAGATATTGGCAGGAATGAGATCACTGTTATCACATCGTATGTGACATCACGTGAAGAATACGAATATCAGTACAAACATAGCGAACTATTATATATAGAGAATTTCTTGATATAGGAGTAGGAGATTTTATTTATCACCCAACCCTTTCTTAAGCTCACACATAAATAAATATAATTCTTTGGTATAGATTTAATTTTACTGAACCTGATTACATTACAGCGTAGTGATACATCATTTTTTGACAGCTAGACACCCCTTGCAAATTCTTGTATATTGACCCGGTGTGTCCTTTAAGGTCGATTTTAGAGCCACTACGAACCGAACACGTTTATGATAATTGGGAACTTTCCTCCAACAATATTACTGTATACAAAAAGTAGTTCCTTTTTGATAAAACGTTCCTTTTTAATTCACCAATCAAATTCATGTAAAGCGATATCTGATTTTTGGATCCAGTAATATTGTTGAAGGAAAGTTCCCAATTATCATTATGAATTATAAAAGTTATAACACAAGCGATATCTACTGAATGTGTTACTGGATGATAAAATGTGTTTTCAGACCAAATTATAAACAAACATTTCAACAAACATTACATGGAATTAACAAATGTAAACTCACGCGATTACATGCAGTTATAAAAGCAGGCATTAATACAAACATTAACATAATTACGCTACTGTTTTGCTAGCTTTCTGATAATTATATCTGCCTAGTTTTTATAAAGATCATATTTGGATGCTTATTTTTGTACTTTATTGTTTACTCTTATGTACTCAAAATCAATTTAATTAAAGCACATGACACAGTTTATAGTTCCCGTAAACCAATCTACCTCTATCGTCAAATTACCCATAAAGTTGCTATAGGTTTATGTATCCACCTTCATTGACAAATAAAATGATTTTAAAAGTCAAACTGTATTGTTACTTTACAGTAAATTAGCTCATAAAAAAATAGTAATGTCATCGATTTGATTATATTATCTATGCATAATTGTTTGAGCACACTCTGTAAATGTGGATCCCATTTGGTAAAATAAAGTATTCGTTGCAATCTTTTTATTGCTTTATACCATGTACATCATGTACTTGCACTTTAAATGCAGTGAAGTTAACCTACCTGGAAGAACGTGATAAAGAAGTTGTATACATATCTAAAACAAGGTGTAATAGAAAACTTTGATAGCGTAATGCCGATAGACATTTCCTGGGTGATAAAGCGAATTCTATAAAAGCTGATATTGCACTCTATTAAATGCAGTGAAGTTAACCTACCTGGAAGAACGTGATACAGAAGTTGTATACATATCTAAAACAAGGTGTAATAGAAAACTTTGATAGCGTAATGCCGATAGACATTTCCTGGGTGATAAAGCGAATTCTATAAAAGCTGATATTGCACTCTATATCAAGCGCGTATCCAGAAAGGTGAGGGGGTGAGGATACTCCTCTGCAGTGCATATTATTTTCTCACATATTCACCAACATAACGTCGAACATACAAACGTTTTATCCCCACTCCAGTCTATAATCCTAT